GCTGGATTTATGTGGATAAAATTAAGTTCTCTTGGAAGTGTGTATGGTAGACATGGTAAATACACCCACACAAATGAAACAGACCGACACGGTTGCTAGGTAACTTGCCCTGGTCTTCACAGAAGGTAATGCTTCCTCACCTGTAAGATTCCTTCTAATTGCTTCAGCTCAGTATCCAATGACCTTCTCAATCTCTCTTGCATCGACTTGCTTCTGCCTCCTACCCTGGTACCTGTGCTCTGTCATCATCGATCAAGGCCGAGTGAAGCTCAGAGCCAGCTGCTCCCAGTAGCCTCTTTGCCGCTCTTGGGCAAAGACTTTTACTCAATACTTCATTGTATTCTTAATTTCTCATTAAAAAAGAAAACAAAAAACAAAAAACCTGGGCACAGAGCAGGTACAACAAACCTTAGGAGGATGAATTCTTTAATTGCACTGAAATAGTTCTGAAGTAGTCCTTGGGTCAAGCAGTACCAAATGGCAACACACACTCATCCCCCCTAGACATACACACAAGCGACCAGGACACAGTATCTGCTCATGAGAAGCTCATACTGTGACACAACAAGACAGGAAAGTATCTTAGTCACTGAAACACAATACCTGATGCTCACAACTTGAGGGAGAAGTTTATTTTGATTCATGGTTTCACTCCATGGTTAGCTGGCTCCAAGGCAGTAACAGGATGGCAGGTGGGCATAGGTGAGCCAGGAAGCAGACAGCAAAGAGAGGAGCCAGGGTGGGAGATACATCCTTCCAGGTCATCCCCCAGTGACCTGCCTCCAAGCAAGCCCTTCCTTCTAACAGCGCATTAGCAATTCAGTATTAGGCTCCCATGATCCAATCACCATCCAAACACATGAGACTTTGCGTGAACATTTTTGTATCTAAACCATAATAGTAATGAACCGAGCAATGGAGATACCACAGGGAGAATTATAGGAAGTATGCTGTGTGACTCCAGAAAAAGGATGCTTTTTCCAGTTTTGGAGAATTTGGCTTCCCAAGGATTTGACAATCAGGGCAACTAGGCAGAGTTCACCTGAGAGAGGTGTCAAGATTTCCTGGGATAAATTCAAATGTGAGGAAAATATAAGTATTCCTGTCTCTTTTAAGGGGGCCCGTAGAGAAAATAGTCTTTCCTACACTAGGCCTAACTCAACTTGATAAATTCTAGGCCACTATTTAAATAATTTCCATTTGAAAAGATGGCTATTTGTATCTTTTACACAGCTCTGGGATAACTGCACATCTACTCCTGGCCTTCCTGGGAAGAAGTTGAAGCGTGTACCAATACTAGAAGATCAATCAGAGATGTCCAGGCTAAAGGACCAGGGACAAATGGAGGAAAGCAGAGGCATGGTGGAAGAGAAGAGGGTTGATGAGGGGAAACAGTTACATCAAAATTCCAGAAGCTGAAGCCAAGAGGCCTAATGCCACTTGTATGCAGCTGGCAACACAGCCGGAAAGGTCAGACCAGGAACAACTTTTTTAGCCATGTGTTGTAGTTTATATGCAGACGTCTCCAAAGCCTCATACACTCCTAGGTAGGGCTTCTGAGAGGTGAGTGGATCCTGGAGGTGTCATAATCATCAGTAGATTAGTCCACTGCTGGGTTTATAGCTAAATGTGAGGTTGGGAGGTGAACCCAGACAGAAGGAGGCTGCGTGCATGGTCTGGCAGGATTGATCTCCTTCCCATCCCCTCAATCACTCTCTTTCTTCCTGCCACCATACTGTGAGCTGTTTCTCCTCTGCAATGCCCCTCTGCCATGCTGCCCTTCCTTGGAGCCAGCCGATTATGGACTGAAACCTCTGCAAACGGTGAGCTGAAATGAACCTTTCCTTCTTTAAGTTGTGGGTGTTGGATATTGTGTCCCAGCAATGAGAAAGTAACTAAGACACAATGTTAAAAATAGCAATTTAGTAATTACAAACTTGCCACCTACTATGTGTCAGGCATTGTTCTAGGTGCTGGAGAGAAGAGTTGTGGGTAAAATATAAAATTCTGTAATTGAATATTTAAATGAAATGGTTCTATGACCATAAGATTAATTATTAGTATGGTTTACTGGGAGCTTAATTATGACAGCCCCTGTGCATGTATAATTTCCTTAAATCCTCATGATGGTGCTATAGTCACTTCTAATTCTGCATAGAAGAATACAGGCTCAGAGAAATTGGGTGACTTGCCCAAGACTACATGACTAGATAGATCCTGAGAGCAGCAACTCAGATTAGTTCTGTCTTGATTGGGACTGGAGCACACAGGCTGGGTTTGAATCGCGAGGTGCCCTCCATCCCACTTACCAGCTGTGTGACCGTGAGCAAGTCACTGAGCCACTCTGTACTCGATTTTCTTAATAAAATGGGAATCATAATAGTACCTCTGTGGCAGAGTTAAAAGAAGTAAAGGAGCTCATATATACAGTGTACTTAGAAGAGTCATGCCTTATAAATTGTTAGCTGCCATTACTAACCCAGCAGCAGACAGATTTATTAAATCTTCTCCTACCAAGGAAACGCTTAAGAAAGGGCATAGAGCTTTTGCCAAGTTGGGAAGGTCTTCTTGAGTGAGGGTTGTTGTTTGCTCTACTTAATTCAATAGCATCCCACTTTGCTCTCAACCACAAGCACCTGCGAATAGCCTCCATTGTTTATAGTGCTTCTAACAAGTGTGGGTAACTCCTCATTTGCATCCTTAATAGCCAATTTTCAAAGCATGTTGAAACTGCAGTTGGTTTTTGGAGACCTTGGTTTTATTTTATTTTATTTTATTTTTGTACTTTCTGTCTGTATTAGATGGGCTTTAATAGCTCACAATACTCTGTGCCCTATCTTACTTAACACTTTCACATACCATTCATGGGTGAGAATGTTAGTAAGTCCTGCAGTCACAGAAAGAGAAACTGCACTGTCAAGGGTATTAGGTCACCAAGCAAGTGGTGACTATTATTAGGATAATTCACCATTACTAGGATAATTATTAGAATAATTCACCATTATTGGGATAATTCATCTTAATTATTACTCAGTATACAATTCTAACTCTTTGGAAGTTACCATTCCAAAGGACTTTAAATACTGAAGTAAATTTTAATGCATGTGTTTGACCCTCACAACAATTCCATACAGAGGATATTTTTATACCTATTTAACAGATGATGCAACTGAGGTAGAGCTGTTAAACAACTTGCTCAAAGTCACACAGTAAGGAGGCAAAGAGCTACATTACTTGTCTATGACCTTGAGTATGTTAACCTTAAAGGAGTAAGGAATATAAAGCACTTTGCACTCTTCCCAGGCCTCATTATACTAAGGAAGGCATTTATTAACATTTTACAGATGAGGAAATATAAGGTCAAGGGTCCCGCGATGCATGCTGGTCAATGCCTAAGAGAAAGACATGGGACTGGGTTTAGAGTTTATGTCTGTTGAATCCAAGGTTCCCTGTCCCGGGCTCTGAATGGAAGGTGCCGATTGCTTCTGATGTCAAAATCCATTATAGCTGCGGCTGCTGCTTTTACTGTTGTTATTTTCCACTGAAGAACACCCACCCCTCCCCAGTACACAGAGAGGAAAATAACAACGCTAAGAAGCAGGCTGATTCTGTATGCAAGCCTGCAGATCTAAGTCCATGCATAATTTACTCAACACTGCCCTGCAGTCACTTAAGCTGAGGAGAGACGCCATAAATTCAGGTCTGCGTTCGCTAATTTACTTCTTATTTATTTTACTGATACATATCTGGGGCCCCCAGAGAGCTGCTCCAGCACCTGCTTGAAGGCACCTGCAGCCCCCTATGTAACTGGGGCAGGAAAAGAGACCCTGAAATAAATACTGAACTCTGTGCACTAGAACAGTGCAAGTTAAATTAATTTCCTGGTAAGCTGGGATTAAACCTACACATGCTCCCATCTCTTTTTGTTGCCATACATAAGACAGTAAAGGTTGCTAAATCTCTCATTCTGCTTTTCTATTGTAGTAATGAGATCACTGGGCATACTTCTCACAGGAACAAGGGACTGTTTTTCTGAGTCACAGAATATTGTCAAAAGATGAGCAAATTTTCCAATACGAAGACATAATCAGAAAGGGAATGAAGAGGAAAAGAAAAATGCTGTTATTTTCTTGAGTGGTTACTAAGGACCACACGCTACACTCGGTGCAGTATAAGCAAACGATAACTCCTGTGGCACATACGGAAAACAGGTGAGTTGGAAGAAATCTTAGCTGCGGTTATACAAAGATCTCTTCTTTGAGGTGGTTAAACTGTGGCCCAGAGAGAGGAAATGACTTGTCCCAGATCACTCAGCAAGTCAGTCCCAATATGTCTCCCTCTTTCATTCTCATACTAATTTACAGCGGTAGCTCAGTGCTACAGCACCAGCCTGGCATGTTTCACCCCTAGTGGCACAAAACAAACAGTAACAACAAGCACCTCAGTTTGAGGTGTTCATGAGCCAGAAGCTGTACTACAAGTTTTATCTGCATAATTTTCTTTACACCTCTGCTCCCCAATTAATTGCCTTTACTTTTAGGGGCATTAAGACATAGAGAGTCTAAGCGTTGAACTCACACTACTGATTTACTGCAGAATCTACTTCCAAGCTTGGGTTAGGCACATGCAAATCACCTGTGCAACACATCTAGTGGTTTCTTTGTGGACACTTTTAAGATCTTGGCTTTTGTCTCCAAACTGCACTGACCAGAGCCACAAGTGGAGATGAAGAAGGGCACACAAGACCTCAGTGGGAGAAAGGTTCTGAAGCTAGAAGAAGCATGGAGAGGGGGTCCACTGACTGCCTGAATTCATCATTTTTTCCTGCATCTATTCTTCTGCCCGATGCCCAACTTGTGATCCTCTTGCCTCCTGCTTTCTGGGCTGACACAGAAGAGGCACAAAGGCCATTTCCTAAAAGGCCACCTGCAGCCCTGGACCACTTTCCCATGCATGCCCTGCAGCTGTGTGGGGCCCGAACCTGGGGTAGAAACACTCACCCACAGAACATGAAGATGGTGCTGGAGCTGGCATCATAGGGCAGAGGCAGTGTCTGCTGCAGGCACAGCTGCTCACAGCCGCCGTTAAAGCCGTCAGAGCAGTCAATGCCTTTGGAGCGGTCATAGCAGCCAGAGCCGTCCTTCATGGGCCTCAGCTCTTCGGGGCACTGCTCAGAGAGGAGAGAAATCAACAGAGTAGTTAGAGCAGAGGAGGTGGCAGGCCCTATCACACTGCCCCCTCCCACCTCCTGAAAGGGAAGCAAGAGAGGAGGGTCCAAGTCTCCTCTGGCCAATTAATAACTGTGGACAAGCCCCTGTGCCTCTCTGTACTCCAGTGTACCCACCTGTAAAACAGGACTGTTGTGATCACAATGCTTCAAAGAGTCGTGAGCATAGCGAAAAGAGATACTGTTGGCAGAGCACTTAGAACGCTGGCGCACATGGCAACACACAGAAAATCGTAGTTGGTATTAATATTGACATTGCTGGGACCATCTTAATGATTATTTATATTGTTACTGCCAGGTAGGGTCTGCTGCTATAAAGTTCACTTAAGGAGGCAGCCAGATTTTCGGTTAAGAATCCCTAACAGTATAAGTTTAAATTCCAGCTCTTCTTCTTACTGTGTGACTCTGAGCAAATTATCATCTTTCCGTGTTTCACTGTCCTCATCTATTAAATGAGCACAACACTTATACCTATAGATTTGTTGTGAAGCTTAAATTGGATCTTAAGTTTACATACCTCACTTCAGAATTTGCCCCATAGTGTGGTACTTATAAAATGCAAATCATCTTCCATCTTGAATTGATCTCTTCTCTAGCTTTGTCCTTTGAGCCCTAAATGAGATTCCTGATAGGAACATGAAAACGACTTCTAACTTGCCTACTGGCCTCCAGTCTGCTTCCTCTAAACCATCCTTCAAATGGTCACCAAAGTGGTATTTCTAGATAGCATCCCTAGCTTGAGTAATAAATGAACTTTTAAAAACTTGAATGTTCCCTAAGCTGAAAATTGGGGTCTTCCGTAGATGATTTCACATCCTTTATTCGCTATGTATCCCTTCCTCCTCACAAGCTTACTTTGGTCCCGAGCAAACCCCAGGGATCTCCACCTTCAGTAACCCCAGCTGAAATGCTCTTGTCAGCGGTCCTGGTACCCAGTAAGTGCTCTGTAAATCTTATACTGTGGGACATCTGGCTATGTATTTAGTTTTCCTTTATTTGATAAGGCTAGGCTCATCTTCTCCAACTCTGCTGATGGAGATGCAGTTGGAACTCTGCTGGCTCAAAACAGAAAACTAGGCACCAGGTTTTCATGTCAGTCTTCTTGCCTGCATTTGCTGTCCCTCATCCATCCCTGGACAGGGCTGATTAAAATGCCTTTGCATGGTGCTTCCCCCAGCCAGTTCCCTGAGCCCCTCCTCAAGCCATCCCCCTAAATGACAATAACAAAACACATCCACACCCACACACACACACACACGCACCCACACCACAAAATTAATTTCCAAAAACCACCACAACAAGAAAAAGAGGTCAGCCCTCTTGGAAATTAAATTTTGCCTAAGAAGAATTTGTAATTACAAATGCAGGGGAGAGTTCTTGGAGACATTTGAGACTGGCGCCAGGAAAGGTGATGGAGAATGTAGGTTAGAAATGGCCTTTGTCAAGCTGCAGAAAGGTTATAAAATTGCTACATTTTGTGCTTAAAAAGTAAAATCAATTTTCCATATAAGTGAGGTGCTGTACATATTAATTCGAGCTCACAGATGGCCCATGCTTATCTCTAAACAGCCACTGTCAGACAGAAGGGCACCTGGTCACAAGGTCATTTGGAGCCATTTGCCAGGACTAGGGGCTGGGTTCTGTCTGTCTACAGAGATTTACTGAGGAACTCTGAACCTTCTCACCAGGTAACAGGAGAGTTCTGGGTTTTGTGATGGGTACAGTTCTTTCCATCCCTCACTGACCACCTGCTATTTTTGTTCTTTAAGTGAGTGCTCACTGCAATCTAGGTATTAGCTAAGCATGCACATTACCTGTCCATACTTATTTAGTCTTATAGCAAACACATGGAGAAGTGTGAGGGCTAATAATGTCTCCCAAAGATGCCTCTGTCTTAAGCCCTGGAACCTGAAACCTGTGAATGTTACCACCTAGGGTAAAGGTTTTGCACGCATGATTAAGCTAAAGCTCCAGAGAAGAATATCTTGGATTCTCCAGACTGGCTTAAATGCCATCATATATGTCCTTATAGCAGAGGCAGAAGGAAATTACAGATAGAGAGAAAAGGAAACAAGCAGGTGAACCAGAGAAAGATTGGTGTGGTGTGGCCACAAATCGCTACTGTTGCAGGCATCAATTGCTGGAAGGGGCAAGGCATAGATTCTCCTCTGGGCTCGCCAGAGGGAGCAGGACCTGCTAACACCTTGATTTAGGACTTCTGACCCCTGGAACTGTGAGAGAATAAATTTCTTTTGTCTTAAGCCAGCCCATCTGTGGGAATTTGCTGCAGCGGCCAGAGGGAGCAGGTTTCAGGGCCGATCTAACTACTTGCTTTCCAAATGAGGCCACAGAGAGGGAGCAACCCCTGTACCCCCCACCCCAGGTCCCTCAGCACAGGGACGGAGGACACAGAGCCAGATGTCCCTAGTCTCAGACTCCAGCTCTCTGCCCACTCCACGAACTACTCTTTAGATGAAAGCATTTTACTGATGAAGACAAACTTTCAGATCCTTTTCGTCCTTTCCCCAAGACGATTCACAGTTGAGAAACTGAGTCTTAGGAAGGTGAAGGGCTTTGGCTGATATCACACAGAGAATTAAAAGTAGAGCTAGAATTCTACCGAGTTTGATCCATGAACAGGGGAGAGACACTCTGAGTAAGTGAAGTGGGTTTATCAGTTAGCTCTGTAGGACGCTTCCGACATCCATCTTTGTGTTCTAAATGGCGAATGGGGGCAGATGAGATCTAGCACTGCCACCATTCATTATTATGTGCATACTGTTTCTATTTTTTCATTGCTTAGCATTTGCCTTCTCCACCAAAATGTAAAATTTGTAAGACTATAAACCATGTGTGGCTGTATCCACACTCAGAATCATGGTAGGTATACAGTAGGTGTTTGCTATTTATTAATGTAATTACAGAGCACCAGATACAGTGTTTAGTGTATCTGGGTAATAATTGTGAATCTGAATCCAAACTGGCTTTTATTAGCTGTGTAACCTTTGAACTCTTACATTCAAATGACTACTGTGTGGGGATAAATAGTGTAGTAGCCAGGTGGGAAGAGTTTTCCAGTGATTCCTGCCTTCTACGCCAGTGCTCTTGTGTTCTCTCCTCCCTCATGACACCAGGGCTGGTCATTGTGGCTGATAAGCACATGGCAGAAGAGATGGTATGTAACTTCCAACTTAGGTTAGACAAGAACGAATCTCTCCCCCCCCCCCCGCAACCCTCCCTCCCTCCTTTAACACATTCTATGGAAACTTAGCCTCTATGCTTTCAGTAGCCCTACAGAGAGACACATGTGGTAAGAAGCAGGTCTCTGGTCAACAGTCATGAGATGAGACAAGGCCTGCCGGCCACACATGTGTAAGCCTGAGAATATGTTATCTCCTCTTAATCGAGCCTGTTCAGATGGCTGCAGTCCCCAACCATACCTTGACTGTGACCTTGCCAGAATCATACAGCTAAGCCACTCTTGAATTTCCAAACCTTGATAATTGCATGAGACAATATTTATTTTTGTCTCTAGCCATTTGATTTTTCAAAAATTTGTAACATGATAATAAATAACTAATACTACAAGTCAAACATATCGAGTACTTAACATAGTGATCACCAAATGGTATCTGCAATTATGAGTATTTTTATGCAGCTTAGAATCCAGCTCAAGAGATAAGAAATGTACACAGATGTCAGACATAGAACTAGTTCTAGAACAAACATCAAGAACTGTGGTATAATTTAGCTGAACAGCAAAAACTCTGCAAATGAGCCTGGGGAATACCCAAAAGAGGAGACCTTAATCACAAAGACCTTCCTGGAAGAGGAAATGTGACTGCTACAGAGACATAGTAAGTACAAGACATAGGGAGACCAGAGCCGTTGCCTAGGAACCACCACTCAGTCGCCTTGCAACACTGGACAAGTCCTGGAACCCACCTGGGCCTCAGTTTCCTTTCTTTCAACAGGGACAGAATTTGGAGACAAGAATATAAAGACCAAAGTTACTAGTGGAATCCAATGCAGGCTTTCTGATACTGACTATCTAGCCAGGATGTGTTATCTAAGAGCCAGCCTCGGGGATCTCATCTGTAAATTGGGAATTCTAATGGCTCCTGGAGGCATTTCTGGAGACTCTATGAGAAAAAAATATGCAGTTTTCTCTATCTGCCTTTGGGTCTGACCCATAACAGGTACTCAATAAATGAAGGAAAAATGTATAGATAAAGTAATAAATGATAAATAAGTGAATCCAACCTCAGTTGAGTTTTTCTTTCCCATTGGTTTAAATCTTTCACTGGATCATTTGGTAAGTATTTATTGAACATCTACCCTTTGCTGAGTAAATGTGGGTGGTAGAAATGTAGTAGTAAAAAACACAGCCAAGGCCCTCCTCTCAAAGAGCCTAAATCTAGAGAGTAGACAAATGATCAATAAGAAAATAAGTAAGATAATTATGTCTTAGAATCAAATTGCTATGAACAAAGAAAAAGGTGTAATGTGATAAAAGGTTAATAAAATGGAGCAAAGAAAACCTAAATTTAGCTTAGAAATAGGACAGACTTATTTCACTTTATTCTTCTCTTTACAAAAGTAGCTTTTGCTGTTCTAGTTCCCTTACCTTTCTAAACAATTTTTAGAAAAATATTATCTATGTGTATAAAACTCATGTGGAGATTTGGATAGTAATCATCTTATGGTCTTTCATCAATTTGGGGAGTATGGGCATCTTTACTCTCTGTGTCTTCCAGTTCTTTCCATTTATTGAGATTTTGATTTTTTTCGTCACCATTTAATAATTTCAACATGTGTGTCCCCTACATATTTAGCTACGTTCCTATTTAAGTATTTCATTGTGGTTTAGGAATTGTATATGCTATTGCATTCTTTATTTCAGTGCCCACGTGTTCATTGCTAGTATAAAGGAAGTACTA